AAGAGAGAGGTGATGCGTTTTAGATTTGTCGGAAGGAATGGTTTATATAGGTGTGGCTACATTCACAATTTTCAGGAGGAACCATCCCGCGTTTTGCAAAAGGAAGTCAACGAGGCAATCTGAAAGTATTCTGGAAATCTTGATCATTTACGTGTGCCAACTCATGTATTTCTTCTTTTGCCTGGAACACAACTGTTTTTCTCCACACCGTTTCCTACCTTATTCCTGGCTTACAAGTGCATGTGATGCCTGCACATATTTTTTTATTTTATTCTCTATATTCTGTTACTTATTTATTTTCATTCTGAGTATCAAACCTGCAAATTATAATTATGACTTATTAATCTATAACTTTCATAAATGATTTATAATATTTATAAATTTTTAAGCACATTTCAATGTGACACTTTATTTTTGATATGGATCTTATAGATGAATGTAAATCCATTTCAAATCAGGATGACTAATAGAAAAAGAGAAAAGTACCCTTCAATCAACTAACAAACTCTATATAAGTGACTTATATATAAAGTTGAAAGCTGTAATTCCTTTTGCAACTCATCATATACCTTACTTGGTCCTACCATATATTGTTTTCAAAGACAGAAAAAGGTTAAGCAAAAATGAAATAATGATATACCGATGCGCCTTGCAGGCCATTCCAGTGCCTTATCCCTGATCTCACTCTTGGCCCGCACAAGGCACTTTTCGAGGTCCCAACCTCCCCCCAGTTGTTCCTGCTGTGGTCTCTCCTGTGCCTCCACCCACACAGCTCTATAGAGTGTGGGCTGCTGTTACATGCGGCTTAGGCAAACTCTCTCGCGACCACCGTGCCATGACTCCATCCTCTACACGGGCTACCTTGTCCGAGACCTTGGTACTTGTGCAGGCTGCATGTGGTCCTAGATCGTATTTTACTTCTGTTTTGAGCGGTTAACATTGAGAGGGGTTATTAATTAAGGAAAATAATTGTCGTGAAGAGGGGGATCAATTAGAAACTCATAAGAAAAACACAGAGAACGGTTCAGAGTGAGAAGAACATCAATTTTGGAGTTTGTCAACTAGGGACCTTAATCCTTTCTTCATTGTTAACAATTGTAAGTTTAAATTTTCAGATGTCAGAGTACAAGTAGCTAATCTTTTAATTTCTAGTGATGAGGTGTAACTAGTTTACTTTGAAGTTTGAACTATATTGAGACTTGGTTTATGTTTTAATTTCTTCTGAATACCCATTTATGCAATCTCTATTTTTAATTATTCTTCATTTTAGGGTTCTTGGGCTTAAGAAGGATCCCTTAAATCTCTTGAACCAATTTTGAACTTGAATTCGAGAAACCGTAATTGTTTAATCTGGCTTAAATGGTCATGCTTCCGACCGTTAGTTAGGATTGATGTTGTCTAAATTTTAATGCAATTAGTAGGTTAATTTCTATGGTAGTTACTAGAATCAGCTTAACCGATTAGGAGCTAGTTCACGAAGCTCCTTGTGCTAGTATAAATACAAGGACAAGTCATGTGTGTCGACACTCATGACCAGTTTGGTTTCAGTTGGAGAATGTGTTTCGTACAAGTCTATGACGCATAGTTCTTTAAAATTCGCTTTCTATCCTTGTAAGTTTCAATTACGTGCATGTTTAGACTAATTAACAAACATCCAATCCACCTATTGCTTTACACACTTGCACATGACACATCTTGGAGTCTGTAGTTGAAACTTAGTCTCTAAGGGCACCATCCTAGNCCTTGTGATGACAACTGATGTGATTCAATACAAAGGCATTGATTTTGTTAGACTTTGTGACATTAATAAATGTGATCATAAAATTCGAGACTATTACGGATGATAGTACTTACATAGAATGTGGTGACTGTGCCAGCTGAGTTGCCAGGTACTAGTTTCAGTTGCATGTCGAATCTACCGAAGAGGTACTCATGCTTGGACTGGAAACCAGAGCCAGAGTATTGATCGAGCGAAAGTGTGAGATCCTGACCACCATTGAGTATTTTAGCACGTTCACCTCCAAAAGTAATGTCAATGTCATCATAAAAACTTCCTGCGGAAGCTGCTACTATCAGATATGAAATTGTTAGAGCAACTGCACAAGCTTTAGGGTATGAATGGCTTGACTGTCCCATTAGTAATGTTTAGAGAGAGAAAGAGAGAGGTGATGCGTTTTAGATTTGTSGGAAGGARTGGTTTATATAGGTGTGGCTACATTCACAATTTTCAGGAGGAACCATCCCGCGTTTTGCAAAAGGAAGTCAACGAGGCAATCTGAAAGTATTCTGGAAATCTTGATCATTTACGTGTGCCAACTCATGTATTTCTTCTTTTGCCTGGAACACAACTGTTGTTCTCCACACCGTTTCCTACCTTAGTCCTGGCTTACAAGTGCATGTGATGGCTGCACATATTTTTTTATTTTATTCTTGTTCTTTTGTCGACTTGCATATAATTGATGTATTCTTCTCTATATTCTGTTACTWATTTATTTTCATTCTGAGTATCAAACCTGCAAATTATAATTATGACCTATTAATCTATAACTTTCATAAATGATTTATAATATTTATAAATTTTTAAACACATTTCAATGTGACACTTTATTTTTGATATGGATCTTATAGATGAATGTAAATCTATTTCAAATCAGGATGACTAATAGAAAAAGAGAAAAGTACCCTTCAATCAACTAACAAACTCTATATAAGTGACTTATATATAAAGTTGAAAGCTGTAATTCCTTTTGCAACTCATCATATACCTTACTTGGTCCTACCATATATTGTTTTCAAAGACAGAAAAAGGTTAAGCAAAAATGAAATAATGATATACCGATGCRCCTTGCAGGCCGTTCCAGTGCCTTACCCCTGATCTCACTTGCACCTTGGCCCRCACAAGGCACTTTTCGAGGTCCCAACCTCCCCCCAGTTGTTCCTGCTGTGGTCTCTCCTGTGCCTCCACCCACACAGCTCTATATAGTGTGGGCTGCTGTTACATGCGGCTTAGGCAAACTCTCTCGCRACCACCGTGCCATGACTCCATCCTCTACACGGGCTACCCTGTCCGAGACCTTGGTCCTTGTGCAGGCTGCATGTGGTCCTAGATCGTATTTTACTTCTGTTTTGAGCGGTTAACATTGAGAGGGGTTATTAATTAAGGACAATAACTGTCGTGAAGAGGGGGATCAATCAGAAACTCATAAGAAAAACACAGAGAATGGTTCAGAGTGAGAAGAACATCGATTTTGGAGTTTGTCAACTAGGGACCTTAATCCTTTCTTCATTGTTAACAATTGTAAGTTTAAATTTTCAGATGTCAGAGTACAAGTAGCTAATCTTTTAATTTCTAGTGATGAGGTGTAACTAGTTTACTTTGAAGTTTGAACTATATTGAGACTTGGTTTATGTTTTAATTTCTTCTGAAAACCCATTTATGCTATCTCTATTTTTAATTATTCTTCATTTTAGGGTTCTTGGGCTTAAGAAGGATCCCTTAAATCTCTTGAACCAATTTTGAACTTGAATTCGAGAAACCRTAATTGTTTAATCTAGCTTAAATGGTCATGCTTCCGACCGTTAGTTAGGATTGATGTTGTCTAAATTTTAATGCAATWAGTAGGTTAATTTCTATGGTCGTTACTAGAATCAGCTTAACCGATTAGGAGCTAGTTCACGAAGCTCCTTGTGCTAGTATAAATACAAGGACAAGTCATGTGTGTCTGACACTCATGACCAGTTTGGTTTAAATTGGAGAATGTGTTTCGTACAAGTCTATGACGCATAGTTCTTTAGAATTTGCTTTCTATCCTGGTAAGTTTCAATTACGTGCATGTTTAGACTAATTAACAAACATCCAATCCACCTATTGCTTTACACACTTGCACATGACACATCTTGGAGTCTGTAGTTGAAACTTAGTCTCTAAGGGCACCATCCTAGCTACTTACTGCTATCACAAGCCATTGTACAAYWGAGTAATACGTCGTTGTTKACACTTATTATATGTTGGAAGCTCATATCAAAGGATGATTTTTACAATCTCTCATGGTATCAGCCTAATCTCCGGTCCTTCTTACCGTCACCCTCTTCTTCTCTAGTGGTTGCCGGCGAATCCACCTCCACCACCACCGGTGGCTCTCCCCTTCAATGCTCAATGTCATGTCACTAATGAAAAACCTGATTGGATTGTTGATTGGTTTGCTGATTCGGCTCACATGACAAATTCGACTGCAAATCTTGATTCCTCCACATCTTATTTTAGTTGCATTTTAGTGTTTAGATTATCCTTTCCATGAATTTTTATTTGATTTTGCGTTGTATCTCAAACCATCGTGGGGAACATTGTTTGAAATGATCTTTATGTTTGTTGGTATGTGTCTTTTGTATTGTGAGTGATGTTGAAGATGGTACGTGTGAAGTCATGTTTGAGACGAAGGATGTAAAGAAATTAAACATCATGTGAAGGTTGTTGCTGCAATACCCCTATTGCCCTAGCTTGAATATGTTAGTATTAGTTGTATACCGAATGATTTTTATCGATGTCTCTATTTATTTTATATTCTTTAATTTTAATTAATTATTTTGAGAARAAAACGTCGGTAGACCACCAAAAGAACTATTAATTACAGAGGGTTTATCAACGACTCCATTTATTTTTAAAAATCGTCGGAAAACCATCAAAAATCTTTTCAATTGCCGACGGTTTATCGACAGTTTTATAGTTTCTAAGAAAAAAATAAAATCATCGTTAATCGTCGAAAATGTTACTGTTAGTGTATAATTATGATCTTTTTTAGCGTGCATTACCTCCTTGGAAATTACTTAAAGTATTTGGAAGATTGTATTTGGTTAAGAGAAAATGAATAAGTCCATACACTTTCTTATTTCTATTGGCCTATAATGAAACGCTTCTTAGTAACTAGTAGTAGGTCATAATGAACCTTAGTGGTCATAATAGTTGGTCTGAAATGGTGGGAAATTTAAATTTTAAAAGACGAAATATAAAAAAAAAAGAGTAATTTCAACAAATTTTAAGTGTTTTCAGTTTGAATTTTAATCAATAGTTATATGATTATCTATTTTCGGGTACAAATATACCACTCGTCACCTCCACCACTTCCATACTAACCAAATCGTCACTCCACCACTTCCATACTAACCAAATCGTCTTCCTCGCCCTCTCATCGATGATCTTCTCCATCCTCAGCCATCGTAGACCATCACGAACAAAAGCAACAGTTCGCCTTTACCACTTCCATAATGGTCGGATCGTCTTCCTAACCGCCTTTCGACCATCTTTCTTATCCCCTCAATCATCGTTGACGATCATGCACAAAAGCATATGTAGTATCGAAAGGGACTTTAATCTCTCTCTCTGTATATATATATACATACACACACACACATATATATATAGACATGAGATCACGTGAGACCAGACTGTTTTCGTGAGATCCGTGAGACCACTTTTTTACACTTGAAACTTTCAGCAAAACGCTAAAAAGATATCGTTTACAATGTTTTTGCTGTAAAGGTTCGATTTTTTTTACCTTCACAACATTTTGCTGTGAAGTTTCAAGTAAAAAAAGTGGTATCACGGGTCTCACGAAAACAGGTTGGTCTCACGTGATTTCAAATATATATATATATATATATATATTGTGTATATATATATCGTATCAATATATATATATATATATTAATGATAAGTTTCGCAGAGAACCCTGAGAAAAGAATCGAATAGCTCATTCAAATCGTTGATTGGGGGGGTATTATAATGGAATCACATTTAAAGAAAATAAATTTACCCCCTTTTATTAAATGAAAAATCAACGAAATATAACGAAAATAGGAGAGAAACAAATTATACCCGAAAAAAACGATCATTTTATTATCTTTAATTTGACATTCACTTTGATCTATATTAATTTTCTTCTGTTTTTTTGGTAGTTATTGGTTCTCTCCTATGCTCACCCCATCTGTATTATTGACTGAGGAAAGTGGGTGAAAATTGCGTAAAACCATGACGTGTAATTGGATGTTTTGTTATTCATTTTAAGGTCTGGTCATCCCTTTGCCAGTATGACTTCCTTCTCCGGCAACTAGAAGGTTTCCTCTAACATGTTGTCAATGTTGCTACACCTATATAAACAAATCGCTTCACACAAACACAAACCCATCCATGTTTATCTCTCCTTTCCTGAAAAGAAATATATATAGGCCAATCAGCCTATTCAAATTCCAAAGCTTGTAAAATTGCTCTAACAATTTCATGCGTGATGATAGCAGCATCTGCCGGAAGTTTTTATGATGATATCGACATCACTTTTAGAAGTGAACGTGCTAAAATACTCAATGGTGCTTAGGATCTCACACTTTCTCTCGATCAATACTATGTCTCTGGTTTCTAGTCCAAATACGAGTACCTCTTTGGAAGGTTTGACATGCAACTGAAACTAGCACCTGGCAACTCTACTAGCACAGCCACCACATTCATCCGTAATATTTTCAAATTTAATAATCATGTTTATTAAAGTTGCCAAGTTCAACAAAATCCATATTTTTGTAATGAATCACATCAGTTGTCATTTCAAAGGGCTGGACATGATGACATAGACTATGAGTTCTTGGGCAACTCAACACGAAACCCTTACACAATCCATACCAATGTGTATATATACAAGAGAAAAGAAATAAAGAACAACAGTTCCACCTATGGTTGATCCTACTGTAGCTTTCCACACCTATACTATTGTACGAAACACTCAAAGAATAATGTAAGTATATATTCAGTTCTCATTTTCTCAAAACTTTCTTTATACTAGGTGGGCTACAAGGACATTTTACAGTGATCATGAAATTCTTTGGTTTATGAATACTATTGATCTAAATACTCTTTGTTGATGTAGTTTCTTGATAAATAACATACCAGTAAAGGTATTCAAAAACCATGACGCTTCTRGAGTTCCATTTTCCATGACCCAACCCATGAGGATGTATGCCAGCCTCTGGAATGCAGATGATTGGGCAACCCAAGGTGGGAGTATGAAGGCAGACTGGATTAATGCTCCTYTTGTTGCTTCCTATAGGAAATTCAATGTTAATGCCAATAGAGTCAGTCCCGATTCAAAGACAACAAGCTCTGAATCTGACAACCAGACA